TATATATATATATATATATATATATATATATATATATATATATATATATATATATATATATATATATATATTAGGCCATGATTTTTGTCGGAAAACACCCCACCCAACACCCCCGATAACTTAAAAAAAATAAACAAATAAAAGGGGGGGGGGATTTCCGATGGAAATCAAGGTCAAAACGCAAAAAAATACACTAGAAATTTTTTTTTTTTACTTTCTAACAGAGTTGTGTACACTACTACAAACTTACCGATAATTTACCAATGTATCTCTACCTTATAATGTGATGGACAACAGAAATATGGCGACGTATCATGAATTTTGATATAAAGGATACGATACAATGTCATCACCTGTGACTGGCGACCCAACACAATGGACTAAATTAACCATTAACTACACTTTGTCTCACCTTTATGAGATACCAACAACTACTCGGTGTTGTTAATTTGATATATCTGATATAATATTATTAATAAATGTCTTACCGACGCCACAGAAGGTTATTTCCGGGACTGTCAAGTTGTTGTATCCATATTAAGTGTCCGCCATTTTGGTTCCCTGTCCCAACCCTCGCAGCAAGTCAAACATATTCTTCAGCCTTTTATATCCTCAACCTGGAATATTTATATATACAGTATTTTACATCTATGAAGAAAAAATATATATTCGTGAGAAAATACTATTTGTTTTATTTAATAGTATATTTTAATACCAGCAATAATAATGTTATTGTTTGACAACGAAGTCATATCTGTCCGAACACCTTCAGCCACGACCAACAGTACAATAATCAAGATATTTTTTTTTAAATAATTACCGCTTTGACATGCAAGTACAGATGCCTTATAAATACTGTCCAAGTATCTCTACACGCGCCCAACCAGATGTATGAACGAGATTACTTGAGAGACACAGTAAAATGTAACTGAGGTTTATGTAGCATCACTGATGCTACATAACCACTCGGGCCGGGCTGGCAGGGCGGCGCGACATTATGTCAGAGTATCTGTGAGATAGTGTCTTCATCAGGGCCGGCGCTACCCACTAGGCGAACTAGGCGATCGCCTAGGGCGCCAAATCATCTTGCACCGGCCCTGGTCTTCATAGAAATAAAATACTGTACAAATAAATATTCTTATAACCTAACCGCCCCCCTCCAGTGTGTAACCCTATCCTAACCTAAGACAAAAGACAATAATAAAGGAACCTTAAGAACCAAACCTGAAATCTAAAGATCAGGAAAAAAACATTAGATTTTTATGGTGAAACACTTTTTTTTTGTCGTTACCTTACCTATAAAAGATCATATTTGAGATTAAGTGAGATAAACCACGCCTAAATAATGAGTTTTAGATTAACAAATAAACAAAATAAGTCAAAAGATAGTCAAAATAATGCCATATTACTCACCATGAAATTCCTTCTCACCAGCATCCCAATTATCACACAGGGGTCCCACCTTCTCCCTTAAGGCCACATAACACTTACACACAATTATACTCCAATTGGCCTCAAAAATTGATAAAAAATTATGTGAAATATCACTTATAAGTATGTTAAGTAAGATTCTATTAGGTTCTATGCATTAGTCGTTTCCATTTTTGTGTTTAATATTGTAGATGATTTCTCCCCTACAAACACTGTTTGTCGCTGAGTAGCCGACCCCGCGAATTCCCCAGTGTATGCCTCGTGGTCTAGGTCAACCAGCGCCGCCTTACATGACGGAGGTCAACCATTAAGCCACGCCTACCTCCACTATTTAAGACCTGACCTCGTGGTTACCACCCTCTTTCTACCTACACCAACCAGCCAGCAACACCTCCTCCTCCTGCCTGGCGGCCCTCGCTCCCGCCGGCGAGCATGGCGACCCACAAGCTGTCCTCCTCTGAGCACCCTCACCAACCAGCTCTCTCTACATCACGCTTGTAACCATGCTGCCTTCCCAGCACCAAGCTGCATTGTACATCCAATACAACATGTATACAGAGAGCACATTGTGAGTTTCCTTTCTCCATCCCATCCTGAGTGTGAACCCAAACATCTCGTACCCTACAATAGAAAAAATATAACCAATTCGGACAATGTCTTCTGGTGGTCACCCTCTTCTACACCTTAACCAACCGTTTTTCCAATTTAGTTTACCATCAACAACAATCTCAAGAAATTTCGTATTTTGTTCACGTTTGAGGGCTGTATTACCAAGGTACATGGGGTCCAGATATGGGGGGTAAATTTTTCTTGTGAAAGATAACAAATGGGCTTTTTTCGAGGTTTAAGGGAAGTTTATTATATAATACACAATTCCTGACTTTAATCAATTCACTGTTCAGTTACTCCTTCAACACAACTAAGAAGTTTAAAACATCCTCCTCCACAAACATCTTCCTCCTCACACCAAACAGAAGAAGAAGAATTGAAAGATTACATGGAAGGGCGTCGGATTTTTGCTGGAGTGGACTATATCATCTAACTCATTACTATATAAAAAAATATATAATTACCAAACAGTCAGCAGGACACAGGAAGCACGTCCTCTCATCCTCACGACAGCAACTCAATTAGATTGTTAGAAGGGAGGGAAAGTGACAACCACGAACTGCAACGTCCACCCAAAACATCTACCTGGCAGCTGCTGTAATGTTATAGAAAATGATTCTATAATATAAAATAGAAAACGTACTTTTTATGGGTTAACTAGTATAGTTTAGATAACCCATACAAATTAACATGATTTACTATATATATATATATATATATATATATATATATATATATATATATATATATATATATATATATATATATATATATATATATATTAAATGCAGTCATTTTCCCCTAAATTCCCACTTGTAAGTTGTAACATGTGTATTTGTGGCTGCATTTGTGATAACATCCCATTTAGTGTTGTTAAATAAACGTAATGTAACAACAGTACTAGTGAAACAATTTCTTTTAAGTTTTATTCTGCATAAAAACATAAAAATTGATTTATAACAAGCTTATTCTAAGCACTGCCTTCCATTTATGTCTAATTAGTTTTATCTTGCCTAATGGCCACCCACTAAAAGTGGCCATGCCAGGGGAAGGAGGCCAGTGACCTACGTCAGATCTCTCCATTATTCTTAATAATTTTGTAGGGTTATTTCGAAGCCTAGTACTGTTTTTGGTTCCACAGCTTGGGCTGGTAGACCATTTCATATGTCTACCTCCCTTTGTAAAAGCATTTCTATATATTCGTTCTGCATGATAACTTAGTGAGCTTGTATTTATGTCCTCTAGTGTTGGTGGTGCGTGACATCACAAAGAAATGTCCCGGGTTTATGTTTTCCATCCCTTTCAGGATTTTGAATGTTCAGCCAGGTGTTGGATGAAGGTATCCCTCATGGCATTAAAACCCCTATAATTATACATACACAACCTGCTAGTACAGTATTATGATGGTCATTCTTTAAGACATTTCAACCATAACAAGAAGAGAAACCATTACAGTTCTGGGTTTTATTGTGGAGGACCATCAAAATCAGTTCAGTACACAATATAAATATACTGGAATTGATTATTACTATAAATTCTGTATCAGTATTATGAACTACTCTGCCAAGATATTTTAGGATTTGGGTGTATGTACAGTAACTCAATTAAATACCTTTATGAATATTTATTGAAATTTTTCATGACTTTACAGAAATATTTACCTATTTAACTTTATACACAATGATGATTACTGTACATGGTTGATGATTCATGCTGAAGTGTGTCATTGTGGTATTGAGTACATGGCGACCTGTGGTGTAATGGTCAGCAAGCTCACCTCGCAAGCGAGTGGACCTGGGTTTGATCCCCGGGCAGGGTGAAATTATGGGCAAGTTTCTTTTCACCATTTGCCTCTGTCTACCCAGCAGTAATTGGGGACCTGGATGTTAATCAATTTGTGGATCATGTTCCGGGGTAATGGTTAGCCAGTGCAGTTGGCAAGTTTTCTGGTCTTCTCGGACTATTCCTTGACACTGGGTCATGCAACTTGGTAACTAAGGGTGTGGTTGTTGTGTTGGCGACAGCTTCTACACCTTAAACAAATTCACACCAAGGTGGCCTTTGGGTGGCCATCCTCAAACACAAGGGGCAACCATTATATATTACATGGTAGATGATTCATGCTTAAGTGTGTCCTTGTGGTAGTGAGTACATGGTAGCTGGTTCATGCTCAAGTGTATCCTTGTGGTAGTGAGTACATGGTAGATATTTCAAGCTCAAGTGGATTCTTGTGATGGCCTAATAAGTTAAATCTCCTCAAATATCAATGCCTGTACTACTTAATATTAAGCAAAAACTCTATTACACAAACACAACTGATAATCATACCCTAATTTTCTTAACTAAGTTTACTGATAAGTATCTACAATTCTACACTTCTGATTTAAAAAATTCGAGTAATAAATAAATAATCCTGACAAACTGAAACACAAATACCCTAACTTGCCAAACCAATTGTAAACTTGTATGACAATTTTACTGAATAATCATGTATCCAATCTTATCTTCAACACCTCCTCCAGCACTCCTGAAGAAATCTTATCACACCACATCAACCCTTCACGCCAGACTATTCAGCTCAGAGGTGACCCCATACACAAGGGTTAACTAATGAGCATCTTCCAGCATTTAATTAATTATCTCTCCTAACAAATGAACTTTCCTAATGAGCCAAGAGACTACAGTATGGTTAATTACCAGTGGGTACAAAATATTGATCTCATCTTACAATACTGTTTCAATTGGTTCCAAGGTAAAACAACATCAAACTGCCATTGGTACCATTCTGTAGGACTGTCGGTATTCTACCTTTTAGACTGAGAACTGTTTGTTATCTATTTTTACAGCGTACATCCTACCTGGGCATAGTCGTAGGTAATGGACTTCATGTACCACCAAAGTTTGTTCTGGCTTGGTCACGTCCTCTTGATTTAATACTTAAGTTTGGACAACAAATTAACTTTTAAACATGAAACTTTATTAGAGACTAGAGATATTCAATGTACAATGTTATACAGTATTAATGATAACCGTGCATAAAGGACATTATTACCTTACTCTGTAAAATATTGATTTTCTTTGTCTTTGGCATTTATTTAATCATTAGGAAAATAGAAAATTTCAAGAAAAACAAAGATAAATGTCATTCACATTGAGAGTTGCTTGAGCTATTACACTAAAAACTTACTGGATGACCTGTCCTTCATATTTTTATGTATAGTAACAATAAACAGGACACAGTCTGGCTACATATAAGCATAAACACTACAATACTAGATTGAAAAACCTGTACAATATTTAAATTACAATCATGGTTGGACTACCGTAACTTGATGCTAGTGAGAGGAGAGCAGAGGCAGGGAAAAGTTGGGCAAAGAAGCTAATCAGTTATATTCATATTTTTCTCTAAAATAACAAGTCTCATTAACCGGTACTGCACTGGGTCAAACTGCAGTAACACATTATGACTCTACTTGTGAAGGTGAAATTCAAATTCTCTTTCTCCAGTAGATCTATTAACTCTGAAGTGACCAGCATAATGTTAAGCCATATACTGTATACAGTACCTGTACAGGCATCCCTTAATTTACAGTGATTTTCAAGAACAGGAGCCTTTGGTGAATCGAGGGGTGCCTGTACATTACAATATGAAGATCACAACGCCATTACAGAACAGGCATTCCTCCATTTACAAAGGATCAATTTACAAATAGTTCTCTGGAACAGAACTCATACACAGACCGAGGGATGCCTGTAAGTAATGTTATACAGTTTAGTTAGACTACAATAAATATTTCCTGAAGGTGTGAACTAAGGCAGATAATCAATACATCAGACTATCTTAACCTAATGACACACTTCTGACTCACATACACCAAACTAGGGGAAACTAAACATTACTTAAATAAAAAATAAACCAATATCCAGCCCACTTAGCTATACAGTACAGGTATCAAATTTTGTTTTCATGATACATAAGATAGGAAAATATCACACTTGTTTACAATTTTACAGTCATGTCCTACACTTCTTTCAAACTCTATTACCCTTCCTCTTATTTAGTCAAGTTCTTGTACTCCTTTAATCCATCCTACTAAAAAAAGAATAGGAGCAGAGGAGAGGAAAAGGAGTATAGATAACCACAGGATTAATAGCTCTGAAAATACCTGTAATACCACAATATTCAAATACAGGGTATGAGGCATTGTTCATATCTCCACAGATCAAAGTAATGTAATGAAAGGCTTTAAAAACAAAATCAAGTACAGTATATCAAACACATGTTACTTGAGATGACTACGAATTAATGCTACTGGATGTACTGATGAAAGCTTGTAATGAATATAGGAGACATTATTAAAAGAATCTAATGGAATGAAGATTGTACAAGAAAAACTGAAATCTGAAATGGTTCTAATACACATAATTCAGAATTCTAAGTGTGTGTTGAGGTAATTTATATATTTACTCAAGTGATCTGGACAATAACAAAACTACCGAGAATAGAGGAAGTGTTACACTGTATCTAGATGGACAGGTCTGAGGTATAGTGTAAATAAGGACACGTATTGACCAAAGATTAATTCTATTTTCTAAGCAAGTGAAATTATCTTAGTGTCATTGATTTACTACAGTAGTCAAGACCATTTATAAATTTTAACCTTCATGTATCATGATGCCTGCACTGCACTGTCCTGGGTATTGACTAATTGGTAGAGTGCGAGAATTATCATAACACAAAGAAATAGTTATATCACGGGGATCCTTACTTGTTAATACTCTCCAATGTCAACTACAGATCATTTAATAAGTTTAATGGAGTTATGTTAAGTATTTACTATCAGGGTTTGTGCAAGTTAATAGTATTTTCAAACTCACTCACAATTTCTAATAGAGAAACTCATTTACATGTCAATAAATTCAGTAATGAATATCAATTCACTGCATCATATACAGCTACTAGTCAACAGTGATAATACTGTACATGGGGGTCATAACCTAACACAAAACACTTCCCCCAAATAACACCTACAAAATATCATTGCCAGACTTAATGAATTAAGATAATCTGTGTACTCAACAAGGGAACTCCAATATGAAGTTCCTCAAATGGTATAAACTCTATCTGCAAATGAAACAGAGGAACTTTGATGGGGGCATAATAATGTGGGGGTTGTAGAACATATACAGATTAAGTAATGGTGAAGTTCATTATGCATAGTCTGGCCCAAGTTAGACGGAATAACAACTTTTAGAGACAACAGAGAGAGACAAGTGTTGAGGTTTGTATAAATGGATAATTTGTGTCAGTGTTCAACAAGTTATCTGCAAATATCCAGCATGATGGCCTGTCAACAGTCTCCTCCCAAGAACTTCTTGTTTTATATACAGTATTGTACCTCCAAACACACCCCTATACTTCACTCTACTCGATTCTCTTATTTTACAACTCCAAAACACAACACATCTTTATGCTTCCTCTCCAAACACACCCCTATAGTTCCTCCCTTCCTAACACTCTTCACACCCCCCTTCTTTGCCACACATTTCCGCACTCACTCCTTTCTCCTTTTACAATTTACATGTGAAACTGATAAAAGAGTTTAAATTCATTTGCTTTGTCACAACAAAGCCTTCAGATATATCCTTCTCTCTCTATTTACACAGAACAGACCAAATCTCAAGTGAAATGCATATACATACTTGATAACCTTATGGAGTCAGTCTTAGCCATGCTTAAGTCAACCAATACCTGATACTAACCACAACAGCAGTACAGTAAAGTGATGATGTACCTCTAAAATCTGAAGGTCTTATGCAACAGTAATTAATATCTTTAATGTTAGCCAAATAATAATTATATAGTAATAAATAAACCAGTGAAAGTACATCTGTGGTTGTTTACAAATAAATATTTCACCTATATGAGTATATTATCAAATAAAGCGAGGATAGAGGTTTCCACCATTTACAAAAGATGGGTGGGAGTTACTGACATTACACTGGTAATTCTCATCTTCATCCTTACTTGACCTTTTTCTTTTAAAGCAACTTCCCTTTTCTAAGTTTCCTTCTTTCCCTTTCGATCCAATTCCCTCCCAACTATTGTCTAATTTCCTTTTGAATGCATCTCCCTCTTTACATATTTCTCTATTTCCTCTTCAAACAATTCCATATTTTCTTTTTTTTTTTACACATTTCCCCACCACCTTTTTGTCCATTATGGAGATACTTTGCTTTATGAAATACACTTTAGCACCTTTAACAACTGATTATATTTAATTTAACATGACCTTTAATCAAATGTTTTGCCAACAAATGCAGCCTATATTCATTCACATTGGTAGAATGGAAGTTTTGCCTCACTACCAACTGGTTACTGCAGACTTTAACATCTTCCTTTATGATGTATTACTGATATCATATACAGTATATCTACATGGTAGCTCAGCCGTGCAGGAACCGAGAGGTTTAACCCTTAATCAGTGGGTAAAAATTCCCTCTTCCAACCTCCTAATATTTGCAAAAATGGAATGCAAGGAGCTTGAAATTTCCACAGATGATAACTGCTATTTTCCACTGGTGATGGCCACCATCCCTCCAGCTAACTTCCACTAATGATGGCCACTGACCCTCCGGCTAACTTTGACTGATGATGGCCACTGTCCGTCCAGCTAACTTCCACTAATGATGGCCACTGACCCTCCAGCTAACTTCCAGTGATGATGGCCACCATTTAAGGATCAAAACTTTGGATACTCTCTTAAAACTTGACTCCATCCCTTCACTAAACAGCAGATACAACAACAATATATCCACTGTGCCACAATGAACATCTAAGCAAGAAACGTTACACACCGATCCTAAGTAGAGAGATATAATTTTTCTCTTTCAGGTATGCCATGTCTTATATTACTGATAGATAACTTCACTTCAAAATTTGTCATCTATAAAAGTAAATGATTTAAAGGGTGAATACAGATTTGAAATACTGTTACTATACCATTATTTCCCCAAGGCAAAATTTTAGTCTGCAGTTGGTAAACAAGATTTGCAAAATACAGTAATTTAAATCAAATTTCCAAATTCAACTTTATTTTGCACCTTAAGTTTCACTCTTTAACTAAATGTTGGGAATATGAGCAATTGCAAAACATAGGCATTAATAAATATATTAATCTATAATTATTTACTATATAAGATTAATTTCTATATGAAACACAGATGGTTAAATTTTCTCAAGGTAATTAGCAGGACAGAATCCTTCACGGCCACGCAGTTTGCACGTTGACCAACCGGAGGCATCTGTAATGTTAAAATATCCACCATCAATTATACAACATAACTATTTCACCACTTATGGACAGTTGGCCTATTCTTTGTCACTTTATTATGCATATACAGTACAGTACTATTCTTGTCTGCCAATAATTTTAACTGTGTCGAGTACTGAGGTGACCAAAATTGATTAACTCATATCTGCAGTTACTTGAAAAGAGATGGGGGAGATAATGATAAATAATAAAAGATAAAATGAAGGGTAAGAGGGACAGAGGGAGGCAGAACAGTTGGTAGGAGGGACAGAGGGAGACACAACAGATGGTAGGAGGGACAGAGGGAGGCAGAACAGATGGTAGGAAGGACAGAGGGAGGCAGAACAGATGGTAGGAGGGACAGAGGGAGGCAGAACAGTTGGTAGGAGGGACAGAGGGAGGCAGAACAGATGGTAGGAGGGACAGAGGGAGGCAGAACAGATGGTAGGAAGGACAGAGGGAGGCAGAACAGATGGTAGGAGGGACAGAGGGAGGCAGAACAGATGGTAGGGAAGGGACAGAGGGAGACAGAACAGATGGGGGGAGGGACAGAGAGGAGACAGAACAGATGGTAGGAGGGACAGAGGGAGGCAGAACAGATGGTAGGAGGGACAGAGGGAGGCAGAACAGATGGTAGGAGACAGAGGGAGACAGAGAGGGACAGAGGAGACAGAACAGATGGTAGGACAGAGGGAGACAGTAGGGAAGGACAGAGGGAGAACAGATGGTAGGAGGGACAGAGGGAGACAGAACAGATGGTAGGAGGGACAGAGGGAGGCAGAACAGATGGTAGTGGAGGGACAGAGGGAGGCACAACAGATGGTAGGGAAGGACAGAGGGAGACAGAACAGATGGTAGGAGGGACAGAGGGGAGGCAGAACAGATGGTAGGGGAGGGACAGAGGAGGCACAACAGATGCAGGTGGGGAAGGACAGAGGAGACAGAAACAGATGGTAGGAAGGACAGAGGGGAGACACAACAGATGGTAGGAGGGACAGAGGGAGACACAACAGATGGTAGGGAGGGACAGAGAGGCAGAACAGGATGGTAGGAGGGACAGAGGGAGGCACAAATAGATGGTAGGAAGGACAGAGGAGACAGAACAGATGGTAGGAGGGACAGAGGAGACAGAAACAGGATGGTAGGGAAGGACAGAGGAGACAGAACAGATGGTAGGGAAGGACAGAGGGAGACAGAACAGATGGTAGGGAAGGACAGAGAGGGAGACAGAAACAGATGGTAGGGAAGGATTAGGAGGGAGGCAGAACAGATGGTAGGAGGGACAGAGGGAGGCAGAACAGATGGTAGGAAGGACAGAGGGAGACAGAACAGATGGTAGGAGGGACAGAGGGAGACAGAACAGATGGTAGGAAGGACAGAGGGAGACAGAACAGATGGTAGGAAGGACAGAGGGAGACAGAACAGATGGTAGGAGGGACAGAGGGAGACAGAACAGATGGTAGGAGGGACAGAGGGAGACAGAACAGATGGTAGGAGGGACAGAGGGAGGCAGAACAGATGGTCGGAGGGACAGAGGGAGGCAGAACAGATGGTAGGAGGGACAGAGGGAGGCAGAACAGATGGTCGGAGGGACAGAGGGAGGCAGAGACAGATGGGTGAATGAAATTAAAAGCAGAGACCTGGAAAGAGAGACAAAATTTAAGAGGATTAGAAATTTTTCCGAGACACCATTAACAGACGCACCTTCATGCACCAACTGCAGTATGTCACCTTCCACAAAAGTCAGCTCATCTGTGTCACTTGCATCATAACTGCAACAGCAAATCACACTTATATTACTCAAGAGCCAATACCTTATGGCGATATATATAATGAGAAACAAAAATTGGATCCATAAACTGAAGTATTAGAAATATATTGTATTTATATCATAGGCTGACATTTTAATTTTTGTGTGTTGCTTCAGTTATTAACCTAAAGCAGTCATATATACAGGGTGTCTCAGAAAAATGTAAACAAACTACCTTACAGATTTTTTTACAGATTGTCCTCAGTTGTTGATGTGTGAAGTGTCTTACAAGTGAGGCCAATGTTGCTGTTTTAATAAAAGTATTCACATGATTTCTACACAAATCTGTAAGGCAGTTTGTATACACTTTTCTGAGACATCCTGTAGACATTTCATACTAATAAGGTATAAATGATCGTCAGGTTCAAATTGTCCTCAAATTCAGGCAGCAGACACAGAGAAGATGTCAAGATTAATGACTGACGACTCTGACTACTGTACAATATTTGATAGTAGAGTGTAAGCTTAACTAACATCAAATGAGAGCCTCCTAACACTGTCAAACTCTCTCTCTTTCATATTTAGGTTAGATTAGGTTAGGTTAGCTTAAGCTATTCTTGATATGTTTAACTTCACTTGGAAATATTTCTGATTTCAATTAAGGTAACTTCTGCACCTGTGTACCAAGCTTGAGGAAACTTTCATGTTGAAGATTATTTTGTATTCCACTTTATACATTGTCATTACATAGTATCACTTAAGAGTAAACTAAACAACAATTGACTAATGCAGTAAAATTGATGTCAGGAGCTGGTATTAGAACAGTCAAAACTTAAACTAATGGATTAAATAAGGAAAAAGTATAAACAATTAATATATCATCATAAGATACATGCAAATTAAAGTGCTAAGTTTCTACTTTAGATTTATAGATACAGAATATACATGACAATGACAACAAAGTGTTTTAACGACTCTCCAGCAGCATGGAGGAGGAACAAAAGGTTACCGGGTATACCAATTCTTATGAAGTTATTGTATTACAAATTACACAATTTAATTCAACAACAAATAAGAATAATGATAAGTGATACTTTAATAATGAAAACCACTTCAACTTACTTGTATAGTGCCCTAACTTGAGGTATTTTTGGTTTAGGTTTCTCTATTGGAGGCTTCTTTGGCATAGACACTTGCTGCAGGTTAGCACCCCCACGACTAGGATATAGTTTATTTCCAGTTCCAATGGTGGGCTGGTTAGCAGGAGGTGGGTCAGAGGGTGGTGGTGGGGGCTGCATGTTAGGGATTGGTGGACTTAATACTGGTAATCTAAAGGGAGGATTATTAACAGGTAGATTGGAAGGACCACGGCCACCACCTCTACCCACAGGGCGAGGACCACGGATACTACCTGTACCCATACGGGGGCCACGGCCACCACCCATACCTATAGGAGAGCCACGGCCACCACCTGGAATCACAGGGAAACCACGACCACCAATTGGGGGGCCACGTGTGCCTGGAATTCCAGGAGCAGGTCCAGATGGTCTAGTTATGAATTTAGATGAGTTTGGTGAATGTCTATCAAGGCTAGGTGGACTAGGTGGTAAATTGGCTGGACTAGGTGGCAAATTGGCTGGACGAGGCGGCAAGCTGGCTGGGTCTGGAGGTCGATAGCTAGGTTTTGTTGGTCCATGTTTATTGAAATTTCTGTTGCTTGAATTATGAGCAGGTGCTCTCATAGTGTTGGCCAGTATTCTGATATCTGGAGTTATATCTCGATGTAAACCAGGCCCTGGGGACAGATGTTCACGAGATACAGTATAAAGAATTTCAGTTAAAAAAGCATTTCTTCTGTGTGTGTATCTTTTCTAAGGCACAATCAATCTAACTTGGATATTTCTTTACACACTCACTCGTCTCCACACACTGACATGACAGGATATGAGGATAAAATTAATAGACAACACCTTGAGTATGCACGACTTACTGTACATATTAATATTCCATTTCCGAGTTGGGTTTTTTCACAACTAAATATAGATAGTCATTTGAAAAGGATATTTGTCACAATTAGAAAATCTTGTAACACATAAAAGAGGGAAAGATATATCTAGTATTAATGCCTTTCAGTTTAATGGTTCTATGACAGGTACAGTGAGTCTAGAAAGCAATGTACTGTAAGTGATGTAACCTGAGTGTATTTTAAAGATATTTTACTACAGGACCCAACTAGAAATGAGTACTATTACTAATACTTTATGTATTATCCTCAGCAAATGTTCATAAATGTAAGCATCTAGTTGTCTACAATATAAACTTCTAGTCAATATATTCAAATTATAAGCATTTTATGACTGTCAGCTATCCTTAGTAACCTTGTATACCAGCTGTCTTGGTACAGTGGAGATTGCATACACTATACCTGCATTATTTATATACAGTGCAAAAATGAACCAATTGTGAAGTTCTAATGATTTTACAGAAAAAATCTATTCCTAATATTTTGTTCTAAAGTACATCAAGACATGATCTGTATGGTAATTACTATTGTATTGCTGTACAGTAATTTCAACAGTAATATAAGTAAATTTTCTAAGTAAACCTGCATACTGCTTAAAGGACACAATATGACAAAAATGGTCTCCAACTCAGAAGCATTAACAAAATAAGAGAATACAATTATTGGTTTATATATACGAGCAACAAATATAGTAAGGGGATCAACAACCTGTCAAACAATATAGCTACAGCAGTATGGTACTTCTTAGGTCAGATGGATGGTCAACCAACAGCTGAAGTAGTGAACTTTTCTCACTATCTCCCTCATCAAAACATTAACTCAGCAGCTGACCATAATAAACAATACATACATACACTAATAGAGTAGAGAAGATAAATTATGAAAGAAAAGGCTTACTAGAGGAGGGTACTACAACATAAATTTGCTTCTTTACCTGCATATACGACACCATTCTGTACGTGAGGTAAAATAAAAAGTAAATCTTTATATTATCAAGTCACTTCACATAGTTCATACAATTGAAGACATATGCTGCAGACAGAATGTAGATTTATAATATTTATATCAAGAATAGATCCAGTACAGCAATGTGATTCCTCCATAGAGTAAAAATGTACTGTAGTAGCTTGTGCATCAGTTATGGCTGCAGAAGTAAATGTGAGCTCTCTCGCTCTATCACCATCTACCCTGGGATCTTGACAACCTTTTTCCCCAGTGAACCAAGGTCGTCGCATTCACCATACTCTCCAGGAACATAACCCTTGATGATATGGAGGACTTACATGCTGCACTCACACTCACACACACACACACACACACACGCACACACAAGGGGTTTCATTACTAGTATAAATATATAAGGCTGCTGAAAAAGACTCACTTGATGAACTAGGAAGACCCTGAGCAATTCTGACCGTCAATGTAGAACCTGCGACAGTGAAGTGTGGCTCTTCCGTTGGCCCGGCACTGAACATGACCTTCCTCACTCCGCCTCCACCCCAGCCCGTTTTCCTCACGCGGAAGTCAAAACTGGATTGGGGGGAGGGGAATTATTTAATGACAAGATACAGTTCTGTAATTCTGTTTAAATCTTGAGCCTCTGGTGCTTAAGAGAAATTACTTTAAAATATTTCAAACATAGTATTACAGTTTAAGATTCTATGATTTGGATATTTCTTCAATTTTTCTTCTATGACAGTTTTATCAACACAACATAGAGAAGACCCCATCAAGAATAAACTTACCTGTTGATAAAATTGAGAGGAAGTTCCCTGTTATGTCTCTCCTTTAACTTACGGTTCAGCACCATTAAAAATTCTGTCTTCAACTTAACTTCCAGCAGAGATTCATAGTCATTCCGGACATGAATCAGGACCAGATCATCTTGATAAGTCGACAAAGTTGCCTGAAACACAGATAAGAGGGACTCGATACTGTACTGTAAATATGTATATATATATATATAGTACTCTAAATGGCATAAGTACTCTACATTAGTACTCTAAATGACATAACTACTTTTAATATATATACAGGTATTATATATATAGTACTCTGAAATAACTACAGTAACTAGATATTCACACTTTTGTTAAGAAATATGCACATTTAGCTTTAAGACTACCAGTGAAACCCATATATATATTAATCTTACCTTTGAGAATAAATGTTTACAGCTTACAATCATTACAAAATATTATACTTTGAGCTTCACTGAGATCTGATACATACAATATTTTTACAAACTTTATTCCTCAGTTTATCAAAGTTTCAAAAGTTTGGTTCAGGTTCAGTAGTAAAACAACTATCTGTGCTGGTGGGGATCGATGTGCTCCGAAATTTTACGTGTGACTAGAGACAGCTCTCATATACCCAAATTTATCATCCATGTTCTCATATTGTTTCCCACAGAGTATACACAGATAGTTGTTTTAGCTACTGTACAAGTTGTATATCTTTCTCAATACAAGTTTAAAAAGAGACAAAAAAGTAGAAAAAATAAATAAAATTTATACCTGCACAATATTTTCCAGTTCAATTTTCCTTTTGATTACATCGATAAATTTGCATTTATCCGGGCCTTTCTTTACTTGCACCCGACCAATTAGGTAGAGGTTGGACTTGGTTACAATCAGGTCGCGTTTGGTTTTTCTGAACTTCCGATCAAACTTGTCCACCGTCAGTGCAAACTCGACCTGTGTAGGCAATTCAGTTCAATAAAAGAGTGATGAGAGAGAGAGAGGGATAGCTAACCTAACCAAACCCAATGCAACCTAGCCTTACCAAACCTTAACTAATCAAACATAGCCAAAACATAATATCTTCACCCCTAGCCCTACTCAGTATTTGATTACGGGGTTGAATCATCTGGTAAAATAAGTAAGGGTTTCTACTCTTCATGAAATCCCCAAATTCCTATACGAGTGTCACCAGCAAGTAGGCCACGACTAAAACAGGGAAGACGACATGAAGAATTTAGAGAACGTAAAGGAATGATAAAAGAATGTGAATAAGACTAGAAAGATAAAGAAGAAGATCGTCACAGTGCTTCATAAAGAAAACAAGAACTTACTATGTTAGATACTGACTAGGGCAAGAAAAGAAAGTTGAACAAATAGAAGTGGAACATAAGAATAAAACAGAGAAGGTACATTAGGTACAAAAATAATGAATAGTGACGTTAAAATTTTATTACTACACTTGAACAATTAAGGTCTTTATGTGGATAACGAGGTCGGTAATTACACTAGTACATTGGAAATAGACAATTACTTAAAGACTGAATTTAAGCACAGTTAATGCATAATTGGGAAACAAGGGATTTGATTTGACTCACAATTGAATAAAAAAAAGTTTTCTTTCACTATAAAATTAATGTTACCAGTATTGTTTCAACTCTCAAATGCCAAAGGGATCTAGGAACTAAATACCATATATAGTTAATAGATATACTGTGCTGTATTTAATTATTAAGTTTACATACAATTAATAAATACAAATGGTAAATTGCAATAAGTTTAACTGAAGCAAAAGCAGTACAGTCAACCCTCACTTTATGCGGTCCCACTTTACGCGTTTCCACGTTTACGCGGTACCCTGCCGAACACGGAATGCTCACTTTCCGCAGTTTGTGTACCCTTTTACACGGAGAGCGGCGCGAGCAGGGTGCGCACAAGGTCGCCCAGTCATCAAAACATTACCTAGTTCTTCACCTGCCACCCACCACAGCCGGCCCAAGTCAGTGATAGTGATAATGATAGTGAGGATATGAACTTATATGGACTTTGAGGGGTTTGACAAAGAGGCCCTGCAAGCCTCTGTGGTGGATAGTGATACAATTGATACAAGTGATACAGGTGAGGGCCAATAATCTGCCCTCTGCCTCGGAACCAACCCCCTATCCCCGTGTGCCCAGCCATCTTTTCTACTAATATTATTGATATTTCTCTTTATTATTAATTGTGTGTGCATACCATCATAAAATTAAGAAGTTATTTTTACTACAACGTAGGTATTGTGTCTGAAAAAGTGGAGTTTGGGGGTCGGCCCGGTCTCTATTTCAATTAATCCCATATGTTATGTTGTTCACTTTACGCGGGCCGCCGTGGGTTCAATTGACCGCGTAAAGTGAGGGTTCACTGTATTGCGTTATGTTACATTCATGTGAAGTTTCAGAGTTCATTACACAAGTCTGTCCCTCAGGGTGTCATTTCTAGCCCAGCAGAGAATAATACAAACCTTTTCTCTTCGTGGGATCAGAGCACAGATGCCTGGCTTGTACTCAACACCAATATAGTCACCATGGAAGTTCCTGTTGAGTGAGTACCTGCACCGCTCCTTACGATTAACTAAAAGATCACTCGCTTCCTCTCGCTCCTTCAAATATCGTTGTTTGCTGCCAGAGAATTGTGTTTTGTAATTAAAAACAGGTATGTCTTGGTAAGTCTTTTCATGATACAAATAATAATGGTAAAAATATGACACCCAGCTATATACATATACTGCATTAAGTAAGTTTCCTTTGATGCTGAATATAGCCTGAGGTATATATTAAAATTAGTCTCTCTCTCTCCCCCCACCCCCCCCTCCCCAAGAGTTTTGGGGTTTGAGGAACAGCAGCCATTAATAAGATTGTTCCTTAAGTTCCTTGTTGCTATTATGATATACAGTAAGTAACACAAATTACCTAAAGAATTTCTTGAATGCCATTTGGATAATTCGGGCATGATGGTCATACTTGCGTTCTCTGGACTCTTCCAGCATATACAAAGATTCTGGATCCTGGAAAATAAATAAAGATAAACATGTACAGTACAGTATTGCAGTATATATATTTATCCACACAAATAAACCTTTTCCTGCTACAGTAAAACCTCTATTTAACGGGCTACATGGAGAGGAAAATCCATTATATTGAGGGTCCGTTAGATATGACACCCCATCTAACAGATTATAGGATGAGAGAAGTCAGTTATATGGAGGTTTATATTAAGCAGAGGTTAACTAGACTCATGAGCAACACAGATTTACACTTATATAAACAGAAACAGAATTGGGGATACAGGGGATATATTGGTTTGTTTCCCTTATCATTTCCTATTATGATGTAGTGACCAGTGGAGTACCAGAACTTTAGCAGATATACTCCATGTTTGGTTGCACCACTGTTATGCACACTCAATAGTGTATATGGACTTGTGTAAGAAGATGGAACCCAGTCCTCTATCTCAGCAATTATTTCTTTGACAATCTATGGACCTTTGATAGACAGTATATACTACAGTATATTAGTACAGCCTGTCATCCATTCTCAATTCCTTTCATAGAACTGCAGCATATTTTGACATTTCTATTGTAGCCATTGTATCTGAACCTTATAGGCCTATGATCATGTATACAAAATTTATTATATGAAGATGTAATGTATTTCAGACTGTACCTTGACGAAGATTTTACTCCGTCCGATCTGGTACTGGCTGGGGTCCATATTGACGCTCTGCATGATGTGGTGTATCCCTTGTACGAGATCCCCATGCCATGACGGCCAAGTTTCTCGGGTCAATATCGCATAACGCTGGAGAAACTTGTGGTATGGTCGGCGGTAAGCAAAGCCCGCTCGCTTCACTCTGATGTTTTCCTTTAACCCCAGGTAGCCAACCTTCATAACGTAGTGGAGAAGTAGGTGGAGTTTAATGGAGTAATCATGGGAATTAAAGATAGTCAAAATATAAACTATACTACTATTAACTACACAATAAACAGGTACTGTATAAGGATAGTATAGGTATGGCAAGAAACTCAACAAATCTGATAATAAACAACTTTTAAGAGTACTATTGTTAACACTGGACAAGAAAGGTCATAAAGTAATAAAGAACAGACCAATCAATTGAAAGAACAGTAATATGATAAAAGATGGAAGGAGAGTCAGAGAGAAAATAGTGTTCCTCTCTTACACATTGATGCTCACCTGATGCTTCACCATCTGGTCATCCCAATCATGAGGTTTCTTTGTCTCATTCGGCTTAATGCAACGGATGTAGTGAGGCATGCACTTCATGAGGGTAGTGACCAGCTCATTAGCCTGAGTTCGGATCTTGGTGCCAGCGGTGGTTGGCCGACCCTTGGCGCCAGATTGTATCACGTCCGGGAAAAGACTCCGTATGAAGGCATTACTGCTTTTCTGCATTACCTGTTGACAATAATTTAAGCTTAAGTGTTTTCTCAATCTACGTATAGGTTAACTCATCTAGGAGTCTATACCCTTTATAATTTCTTACTTTGGATAAACTGAGGGTTGGCACCTCTGCTTATTTCATCCGTTAATTAGACACCGTAACACTCATCTAACCTAAACTAACCTAATCTAAAGAAAACTAAACTAAACTTATCTAACATAACCTAACGCTGCTTGTGGTGCTTAGTTTAAGGTTCAACGTCAGGGTGAATGAAAGCAAGCATTATTCTCTACAAACCATTCCTAAAATAATTCTTAAAAATCATCCACTTCAGAATTATTGTATCATACATTAAATTTTTTAATTTCATGAAGAATCCCCAGAAAATATCACCCACATTCACACTCGGGTCATCCTTATGAACTAATACAGCACCGTACAGTAGTTCAGTTGGACTAATTTGTAGACTTTTGTACACTTGACTATACAGTAAGATCTCATATTTCGCGTGATTCCATTTCGCGTTTTTGAATTTCGCGAACACTTCCTAATGTAACCAAGTCTTATATTTGGCGTAAAATATAGTGAGTTTCGCGAGATCCAGCAAGCTGAACGAGAGATCCAGCAAGCTGAACGAGAGATCCAGCAAGCTGAATGCTGGCCACCATCTTGAATGACATCGCAGCCCTCATACCAGTTACAGTCATTTCTGCTACAACGAGTGTTTTGTCAACGAGAATTGGTTGTAATTCAATTGATGAATAGGGGAACGCTGTTTGTGAAACATGAGCTTTTACATAAATATGTTGGTTATAGCGCGATTTCATCCTCAATGTTTTGATTCCATCCTCAACTTTTTAAGCGTGGTGCGGGGTTATGCAATGTTTACAGTTCACGTTCGACATCACATGTTCGATTGATTCGTGTCTTTTGTTTGTGAAGTGTTTTTTGAGAGGTAATCTGTAAATTTTGTCCATTTTTTACAAATTTAGTTATTACCTATAAATACTGCATGAAAAGAATAAGTAAAAAGAATGTTTCGCAGTGAGGACTAATAATGGTTTACACCGGTGCTCTATGTTTACATCACGTGATCAGTTGAATCGGGCGGTTTCTGTCGATTACTCTGTAATTTTCACCGTTTTCTCCAAATTTGTTGTGTTAGCGATGAATATGGAAAGACAAGGTAAGAAGAATGTTTCCAAGAAGCATTCTGGTGATCGAACTGCCGGTGGTGAATGTAAAAGAGGTTTACAAGAACGCAACTATCATGTTGTAGCCCGCGCCGTCCTAGCGACCTCCGGGGCTGCTATTGTGTGCTTCTTTGGGTGGTACTACCACCTGTCGAGTCAAGATAATGGCCTCTCCCTCTACTGGGGGTCCTACTGGTGCTGGTGGGGTTGGGACAGACCCACCTAAGCAGCCAAATTAGGAAAAGGAGAAGCGGGACTATCATAAGGGAGTTAAGTTTGCCAAGTACTCATTGTAGGATAAGCAGCGTGTGATTAAGTTACTTGAGGAAAGCCTAAAAACTAGTTTCCGGAAAGCACAATCAGTCAATAAAGGCAGAATTTGTATCATTTGGAGGTAATAAAAGGGACAATCAGAGGTTGATGTAGAGTGGCCAGTCTGCATTTAGCGAATTTGAATTTGGAGCAATTTTTCCAGTCTATATTACTGGCGAAATACAAGATCTTACTGTACATTTTATTTGTTTTTCGCAAGATATTTTAGATTGTCTTCTCAGTTGATGAACCATTTTGACTGTTTCTTTTATTAACTCGACCTCTGGCATGTGTTACCAATTTCAGTCCAGTCCATTCTACATGAACTGCCTACATGTGTGCCTCTCACTTTGTGTCCTGGGTTCAATTCCCAGCCTGGGACAGATGTGAGAAGGATATTATCCAGTGTGACACAACCATATACAGTATGGCAGGCAGGTTTTATCCAGGTACTCTGGTTTCCTCCTGTAGCAAGACTGGACAATATAGGTCATAACAAATTAACAAAGAGCATACCAACCACCACCAACATGGTTAGTAAACATGTAAGTGATAAAATAATTAAATAACTACCTCAATTATGTCAACGAAGAGAACGTCCCTGTTTTTTTCACAAAAATTGTCAATGTGGTAAGAGACATTTCCAGCATAATGCTTGATGGTGAATCCATTGTTGAATTTCTGGTAGTAAGGGTTTGTTCCCACCTGTAAGAAGAGGAAAAACTGTATAAACATTGATAAATATTACCACATAAAAATATAGAGGGAAAAATGCAGACAAAAAAATTCACTAAACAATTGAGAGTAAGAAATGTTTACATATAAATAAACCAAACAGAACTTTTGATCAACTTTGTCTAACTCATAAAGACTTGAGAATGAAGAACTCTAAGTCATGTGATGCTTCCTGTACTGACTTATCTTAAGAATTTGAATTTGAGAACCCTTCAATCTATTTACTGTACTTTGGAATGGTCACACAGGTGAAAAGAGAATGAACAATCATAGAAAGACTAATACTGTATTCAATAATTTATTTAAACAACCTCAAGTCTTTTAAAATGGAAATGAATATTAATATATATGTGTGTATTGTCAAAATGCCAAACAGACGAGACATTTACATCCCTGAAACCCCAAAGCATTTTTAAATAATCACCCACATGTATCATGAGACACCATTAAGCTATACATAAGACAACCTCACTCTTATCACCCCAACCTACCTGAGACTCCATCTTGCGGTGAAAATCTTCATCAGCTCCCTCTGATTTTGCGCTCATGGTCGCACACGTGTCGTCCAGGATACACATGATGCCAGGTGGTCGCTTGGTCTCTATTAGATCACAGACCACTTTGTTGTCGAAGAATTTAATTGGTGACCACTGGATACCCTGGAAACATTGATTATGAAGTGGACTTCTCCGGCAAGGATGTGGTGAACATTTACTGCACTTAAGAATAGGTCTTTTTTTTTTTTTAGGACGGGGGCCTTTTCCTACTTGCTGTACCTCTCACACTATTGTTTTCCCATTTTTTATTTCTTTTCTTGATTCACAATCCACCTCACACAACAACAGAAGACAAATATACAACATAGATAAATATATAACTGGTGAGATACAACACTACAGTAGGTACAATATACCTGCTTGTTATATTCATCAACTGGAAATAAACATGACGGCTCTGTTGGCTATCCTTCGTCAAATTACCTTATTGTTTACCCTGTATGCTTGCACTGTCTAGGTACACTGGAAACTGTATACTGTACCTCCATAGTCTATGCACACTGTATAATTGCATTGTCTATATATAAGCTGAATTAACTGTAAACTCGTGTGACAAATTTACTGAATAAATATCTATTTACTACTTCATGCTCGGTGACAGAACCCAGACCTTTACCAGAAACAAATATAACTGCACCACTAATCTCTTTTTGTACAATAAATTCAATCTTTTACCATAAGGTGATATGCTAAATTCATCCCTTGTCATAATTCAATACATCTAACAAATGCTCTTTTACTCAAATTTAACATACAGTACAGAATTCTATTCTACTGTAAATTTTGGGTTCACATACAGTGACCCCTCGTTTAACGAACGCCTCGGTTAACGAAATTTCGGTTAACGAACTGCCTTCCATAAGGATCTTCAATTCGGTTAATGAACAAAAATTCGGTTAACGAATTTCTTACGAACCGACCTCAACATGTTTTCGCTTGCACTGACCGGGCAACCAGCTTTAGTATCAGTCCACCAATACATTAATCGGTTCTTGGGCTTAAATTCCTTACTATCAATAAGTTTATACTATTCAATAATTTTAAAAGTTTAATATTAACTTTTTTAGTCATTTTAACAATTATTGAACATAATTGAAGGTAAAGAAACTAGTTTCTGGCATGCCATCCAGCCTGTTAACACACCAGACAGGCGTTAGTCTCTCTCTGTTTTCAGTGGAGGTAACATCTTGCTTGAGACTCTCTTCAACTAAATGCTTTTTTTCTGTGTTTCCAAGCAAATTATTGGTCATTTTGAAATATATTTTACATATTGACAATATATAATGCAGTGCAGTGTTGATTTAAAGAAAATAATCTTGAAATACACCAAGAGAACTAAAATTTTATGGATGAAATGGTGCCATGGGGTGACTTCTCTTCCACCCCAATGCCTTTTCTTCTTCCTTCTCCTCCACCCCCATTCTAATTCCATCATCATCATCATCCAGGAGCCTTCTACATACACACCTCAAAGTAAGTGAACTTTTCTACCATTTTTGTTGAATTTAGGAAATTTTCGGTGAGCTGGAACCAATTACCCAAAAACCCATTGAAACAATGGTTTCGGTTAACGAACGACCTTCTGGAACGGATTGAGTTCGTTAACCGAGGGGTCACTGTAATTCCCTTAATCATCTTCCGAGAACGTATTTTCCGACTCCCGTTAATAGACAAGTTCCATATACCTTCCTGGAGTGAGATACTGTAATCACACTTATTTTCTAATACAGTATCAATAATCACCATCATTTACCTCAGAGTGATATTCTTCTTGTTCACTCTTCAGGGTCAGTTCGATGAAAATTTGCTGCAGCTTCTCGTTGACGTAGTTGATGCAAAACTGTTCAAAGCCATTCTTGGCAAATATCTCAAAGCCATATATGTCGAGAATGCCCATACACATCAAGTTGGCATCGGTGACCATGGCTCCGTTTACAGTCTGAAGAAAGAGTTAAGGGCCATTTATATCAAAATAATATGACAATGATAGATATAAAATGTGAATTTACTTAACTTTGTGAGCCTTTTGCTACTAAGGTGGTGAGAGACAGGCAGAGCAACACATATTCTCACTTCATCTGCTGTCATTAATTCGGCCCTAACAGATGTGTTTTACTGTGCCATTATATTCTTAACAATTAGCCAGTGACTGAGGATTCCCTACTCCACCCCCATATGTGCAAAAATAGAACACATGGAACACAAAACTTTAATAAATGATGACCATTATTTAAGGTTCAAAGATATGATAATAAGTAACAATTAGTACTTTTTCACTACTATTTTCCAAGGGATAAAATGACAGGTACAGTCACCCCAAAAGGTGTCTTTATGATTTGGTGTTAGACAATATGACAATGGATGAATGATTTTGACAACCCTACAAAGACAACAGGAGTCATAGTGTTCATTTTGAAATTCACTGGACCCCTCCGTAAAGATACTTTCTGGAATGACTGTACATTGTAGCAGGTTACTCCTTGACAACACTGGATATTTATAAAACAAAAGCCTGTATCTACACTACACGTTCAAGCTGGCACATGTATGTATGATAGCAGTAGTTCAATATGTGGTTAAAGAGTTAATAATACCTTACCATTATCAAGTGTACAGAAACTTCATTGATAAAATAAAAAATAAAAAATTCTCCAGAATCTCATCGTCTGAAGATTAGACACTCTAGCTTATTTCACCCGAAGAGTAACTACCCTAATGCTAAGCTATCTTAACCTAAACTAAGCTATGATAACCTAGCTCAACCTAAGCCAAACTATCCTAATTTGAGTTAACCTAAGCTCCCCTAACTTACGCTAACCCCTAAGGTAGTAATAAGGTGTCTAATCTTCAGGTAAAATAAACTAAGGTGTCTTAATCTTTAGGTAAAATAAACTAGGGTGTCTTAATCTTCAGGTAAAATAAACTAGGGTGTCTTAATCTTCAGGTAAAATAAACTGGGGTGTCTTAATCTTCAGGTAAAATACACTAGGGTGTCTAATCTTCAAGTGATCTCTGGAATCTTACCTCAACAATATAATCAAAGAGCCTAGAATACAGCCCCTTGGTCCAGGCATCTCGTGTAAACTGTGCCTGCTCTGTGTTGAGGGTCACATCCACCCTCTCTGATTTCCCCCCCCATTTACTGTCAAACACTCGGCTGACAAGCTTCTGACCCAACACCTGAGAGTCGATGCCCAGAAGATATGCTGGAAACTCCAAAACTACAGGAAGAAAGAGAGAGAACAATGTTAGAATGAATTTTATGATGAAAGTGCTGTACTGTACACAGGATTTGATAACAGTTCTTAACCCCTTATGTATGGGGGTCATGTCTGAGCTGAATAAAATCGTCGGGCAGGAGCCAAATACGATGTTATAAGCAGCATCCCCGTAGTGAAGGGGTTTTCAGAGACATAGCTAACAGATCCTAACAATTCTGATCTCCATTGGGTGTTTTTCTACCAATGGCAGCTACAGTTTTATTGATGAAATAAAAATTTAAAACTCAAAATATTTCCCAATTACAGTTCAGTACATATAAGTTATTTCACTAATTATCTAGTAACTACATTGCTGTGTAATGACTAAATTAAATACAGGCAAATCCACACACAAAGCTCACAGTTTGGGTCTGTGATGAAGGCTGCATTGTTTTGTTCCATGAAGGAGACGTTGCTCATGTGGAGAATTGCAGCCACGATGCGGAGAATATCCATCTGTATGCCCTCGGTTATGCCCATTACACTCATTGCTAGAAAATAAATGACAATGAGTAATACCAAACACAGGAAGGAGAGAGAGCAATTTAATCATAGTATTTACGGACAAAGTTAACAGGATCCAAGGACTATACTGGAGGTAAATTAACCCATGAGAAAAAACATAGCCTTAATTCTTCAAGGTTTCAGGGAGGAAAACTAATTATTGTACTTGGGTGAGAGGCCCATAAAAGACGGCACTATGTTGGAGGTCAAGTTTCTAGCTTAATCTGTTGTAGAGAAGGTGTTCAAAAGTCACTTTCATAAACACATTTTATTTTATCTCCTCCCAATAAACAGTTAGGATAAATATAGCTATAAATGTGAGTTGCCATGAGATAAGATAAATCTAGATAACATAGTGATCTATAATCCAATGTTACATGTATCCAGTTCTTGGAAATAAACAAACATTTATCAATATTTACCAATGCATTATCGGAGGAAACTACCCAAGACAACTACAGTATTTGTGTACATAAACCAGGTGGACTCACAAATATCTCAAGCACTAGTTTCATCCCTGAGGTTCTGTTCAAATCATAACTGTACCTAACTTATCAATGTGTTCTTCATGATGTACAGCAGCTAAAACAACTATCTGTGTATACCTTGTGGGAAACAATATGAGACCATGGACGATAAATTTTGGTATATGAGGGCTGTCACTTGTCACATGTAAAATCCTGGAGCATATCGACCCCCACCTGCACAGATAGTTGTTTTAGCTACTGTACAGTCACCCAAAAAAGTCCTGTCGCGAACCATGAACCCCGAGATTCAGACTCTTGAATCCGAAGCATTTATGGACAGAATAATGTATCAGTGTCTACTGCTTCGGGTTCACGAGTCTGAATCGTGGTTCGCGACAGGACTTTTTTGGGTGACTGTACCTGTCCATGTGTTCCATTTTTGGTCAAATAGAGGTGAGGGGGGGATACTCAGCCACCAATTACTACCCTCATACGAGGGTACCTATACTGTACAGAGGCTTATTACACTCTCTAGTTATCCCAAAACTCTGCCACTTATCTACACCTGCAGTACACACAAACCTTCCTAATTTTTAGCAGTTTCATTCAGTTCTGCAAATACCAAAGATAACCGGTCCATTTCACTTAACCCTTAACTTGTGGCTAAGGATTCCCTACACCACTCCCATAGGTGCAAAAATGGAATGTAAAGAAATGAATGTTGAATGTTCTATTCTAGTCATATTATTTAATTATTATTTAACATTTTATCACCTCCCTATCTTTTGATTATCTACACACACTTCCCACCAATTAATCATGCCTTCCAGACACGTCCACCTGGTTTTTACTTTTATCACAATTTTGTGTGGTCAAATACTTCTTCAGTCAGTTTTGTTAGCTTACATGTAAATCAAAATTTCTATGTACAGTCCCCTTCACTAGTGTGTTTACAGGGGCTCATCAGGTTTTGTGCAGTGTGGCAGCCCTGTGTTTGTTTACAGTAGACAGAAGGAAACTCACAATAGTAAACATATTATAAAATATATTAAAACAAATATCCTAATGTAATGATGAGTGGAATCTTTATATGAGGAGCCCCATAGATGCACTAGTGAAGGGGACTGTGCATGTCTAACTTTATTTCCCGTGCAGTGTTGTGTGGGGAGGATCAAATGATACAGCAATTCATAGTCACCAGAAACCAATGTTATAAAATTCCCCAAATACAAAATATATAGTTATTTAGTTACATAAACCAATAACCACTAACCTCTGAGTGTTTCTTGGAATTCATGAGCATCATTAGTGCCATCAACCTTATATACACCACTTTGGTTTAAATACTTGAAGTATTCGGGAGATACAACTCCCAGGTCACTCTTCATTTCAGGCGTGGCACCAGCACAAATCTGGTAGAAAATGTGGAAGCTTCTCTCTCCCTCATTTAAAGAGTGTACTCGAGACTTCTCCAGGAGAAAGTTGGATATTTTACCTCCGAGGGGTTCTCCACCTCTTGAGAACTGAATCTCCACATACTTTCCCTGTGGAATAATGTTGAAATCTAGAGTTTTCAATACATACATCGAGACCTGTATTCAATGGACCATATGGGAGCGTGTAGTCTGTCAAATTGAGATCCATTATATGTGACTACCCATTAGATTAATGACCGTCGAATGGAGGTTTTACTGTATGAACAATTTACGTCTTAGGGTGCTACTATAGTGCAGTCTATGAGGATAACTTAAGTGCACTGCCTCTCGCTGTTTCACACATCAACTTAAGGCTTACAAACTGGTTGGAACAAATACACTTAATTTTTCACATTTCTAAAGATGATTTATTGTCACTAATTGGCCTTGCATTCAAAAAAATAATATCCACATCATAAATACTTACCCTAACAATATCCACATCACTGATAATTAATTAATTACTCTATCACTATCCACATTTCTCTTGCTCTTCACCAATATCCACATCATATATACCTATACTGTAATGTAATTCCAGTGTCTTAATATCCACACTAATAATAATTACTAATCATTAACATCCACATAACAGACAAATGGCCACGAGGTTATAAAGAGCTAAACAAATCACCTCCCACACACTTACAAATCGAGAAGAATTATTGTTCCTCGTCGTCTTGGCATTCCCAAACGACTCCAGCAAGGGGTTAGACTCGAGGATAATCTCCTTCACCTGCTGCACCTTCTGCCCGCCTCCTGACACCCGTGTGATGTAGTTCATGATGAATTTGGCAGAAACAGTCTTCCCTGCACCAGACTCCCCACTGAAACCAAAATAGGCTTTTATGGCAGGTGTAAATAGTCTCAAAAATACACACACACACACACACACACACACACACACACACACACACACACACACACCTATGTACTGTACGTATATATCTGTAATTCAATTCTATGCTAAATGTAATTAATTATAATCAATTACAAAAAAGTTTATTCCCAAAAATGAACTTACCTGATAATAACACACTGACTGTCCGAATCGATAAGCATATTACGATACATGTTATCAGCAAGTGAATAGATATGGGGTGGGACTTCATACTGCGCCGCGCCCTGGTACATTTCTATCTCACGCTCCCCAAAGTATGGAAGTTGCTTGAAGGGGTTGACAGCCACAAGCACAGGGCCAATGTAGGTGTAAATTCTGTGGAAATATAGGACTGTCAATTATATTCCCTGGACTAGCTATTAACTTGTATACAAATGAGTAGCCATTTAACACAGGAGAACCTAACCTAATATAGAGTATTTATTTATTATTTCACCACTTATCAGTAAGGAAGGAAACTGGAGTGTTGTACCTGGAGATAACACCTTCACTCACATCTGTACCAGGTCGGGGATTGACCCAGGACACAGTGGTGAGAGATACTCGTGTAATTGCTGTACCATCAACACATAAAGGCTAGATAAAGTTTGCTTTGTACTGTATTGTTATTTTATGTCATGTGCTGTGCCAAGGTCAATTGTGTTGTAAACTGGCTATGTATCCTGTTACTCAGTGCTCTTGTAAATCACGTACAGTATTGAGGGATGGGGGTGGATCAGTGACCACTTCCTCATAATTAACGAGTCATCACAGCACTGTTATTCTGCACCATCAATGAACCTACATGTCCTTAGAGCTGAAGAATGTACTACCAGTGTAAAGTACTTATTACTGCAAATTCATTCAAGCCTCAATATTCATGTTATATTAAATCACTATTTAAACTTTGTTATTTACACATCCAAATCTGACAAAAACTAATTATTACAGCACTGTAAGGATTCAAAATTATCTCTACAAGCTACTTGAGTTCACTACTGTATTATTACCACCAACTCGGAAAATGTAACCAATTCATTAAGGCTTAATCCGAAATACAAGGTTTTCAATGTTGTATTCTAATTACTAAATACACTAGTCATGATCAATAATATTTTTTGTACTATTGACAGGCTAATGGGCAGCTATCAAGCAGGGAGGTACTACCGCCTAGGAAGAAATTGGTAGACCCTGCTGCCATATGGCATCACGAAAATTGTGACCAAGTCCCAGGTTGCTGATCTGACTTTCTGCCTCATTTACACCCAATTGCAGGGTCTCAATTGTTTCCCAAACTTTGACAACACAACATACAGATATTGTTTCTCACTTTTGATTTTTTGTGTGTGTTCTTTATGGTTCTTTATTATTGTTATTATTATTATTTCATTATTAATTTTTTTTATTATAAATTTTATTTACTATGAATTATTTTATTTTTATTTTTGTATCTTTATAATAAATTTTATATACTATGAATTGTTATTATTATTACATTTTCGCCCCTCAGGCCCGATGTGAGTCACTGGTTCAGTGACCGGTGCCCGGGTGGGCTAATCCTAGTAAAAAAAAAAAAAAAAAAAAAAAATATATATATATATATATATATATATATATATATATATATATATATATATATATATATATATATATATATATATATATTTATATATTAACCTAGTATAAGCGCTTAGACAGTTGTTGAAGCGCTGTAATACATTATAGCAACAACATAAATCTCTTGACATTGTAACAATCACCCCAACAGATGTTAGTGATAAAAATATAAATAGGAAGAACTTGCTTGTCTTCTAGAAACCGTCTCTTGAGGTTGTCTGTGATGGCATCTTCAGTGATCTTGGTGAGGAGGACCATGTCATCCACAGATGACTTCTTGGCCCCTGCCTCACTCTGCCAGTGGTAGGTCTGAAACGAAAAATAAGCAAATTGTTACACCCTATTACTGTATAACACACACACACAGAGGTTGTTATTGTCAGTCTACCAGGGAAATCCACAGAGGATGTTATTCAGAGTGGGTGAGGTTGAACCATATCTGTCTTCAAACTAAAATTATGAATTAAATCTAATACTGTATTGTAATAGCATTAGAGAAAGACCATCACACACACACACCATATAATTATTCTGTGTTTACATCAAGTCAAACACCTAAATCAGTACATTATACGGAATATCAGTCTCTAGAATAAGGAATTTTGACTGTAGGTAAAACATAAGATAACGTCCCCCCCCCTTAATACTCGTATTTTACAATGACATTAACCTAATCTAAACTAACCTTATTTAACCTAACCTACCCTGCTCTAACCTAACCTAAACTAACCTTATTTAACCTAACCTACCCTGTTCTAACCTAAACTAAACCTTATTTAACCTAACCTACCCTGCTCTAACCTAACCTAAACTAACCTAAACTACCTCAAACCTGCAGTATATTTTCATCGGTATGTATTTATTAACCATAACATATCGAAAGCACATTGGAGACAAAATTATAAATACATTATACCAAAACTACAACTTTTATACATTCACTTAGATACAGAGACAAGAGACAAAATTTATTCTGTTGTATTAAGACATTCGGTATTATTCCCATGTTATTTCAGGGCTTCAGCTAACATCATTCAGAAAACACTCCAGACCACGAACTATGAAGCCAGGACACTGATAAAACATTAACTAACAGGATATGACTCACCCATTACCAATTTACCCAATATACTCGACAATATAAAGCAGTTTCCTGACTTACTACAGCACACCAGCAGTAAAACATAACTTAACGTCGAAGTATACTTGCAAGTTATCAACGGAATATATTATAAGCATATACTAATTCAGTGACATTAATATACTGTGCGCATGCGTAGTAGCTTGTTATAACAGGATGCGGAAAACTATGTGATAAGACATATTAGGGTATAATGCAACATAAATAATTATACTCTACTTTGATAATAGATCTTTCAAAATTAAGGATTAGATTAGGCGTGGCTACTTTCTGCCTTGTTAAACTCTCAGCCTTCAGTCTCATATTTCGTTCACTTGACACTTCTCAAGGAAAACTCCACGCTAAAGGATTATCTTACTCTTATTACACCATCTCGGCAACATTGACAGAAACTTCTTGGTATAATAAGATCTTTTTTTTTCATCGTGTTGGTAACATTGACACACCCGACGCGGGGTAACATCAACATGAAGGAAATACAGAAATGAATTGATAACTATTTTGTACTGTGAATGCTACTGCCTAAACGGAGGTCTTTACTGTACTTGTTTCTATACGATTATACTCTCAAAATTCTTAATGGTTCTTACGTATGGAAGATGTGAGGCTACCTCCTCCAGTCCCCCTCCTGGACTGACTGAAATATTCTTGAGGAGGGGCAGGAGGGTGAGATGAGGGGGTGAGAGAAGGAGGGGTGAGATAAGGAAGAAGAGAAGGAGCTTACATTACGACACACAGATGGTGATGACAATGTTTCAAGACAACCCTAACACTCAGTCTCGTCTCCTGCACCTCTGAAAACAATTAGGACAGACAGACAGATAGAGATAGAGACAGATAGTGATAGATAGATAGACAGATAGATAGACAGTACCAGGCCTTGTACAGGTTCTTAAAAGTACCTGAACATGTTACAGTGTTGGTCAAGTCTGGTCTCCGGCATCTAGCGAGTTAGGTTATGAGCTGACTATAAATTCCTTCACTGAATAACGCTCATAAAACACCTATTAAAATCACCGTTCACTCTAGTAGGGGATTGATTCTTCACTCAATAACAAGGTGCAATAACCTAACTTACGATACAACTGTGGAAGGGAAAAACAACAATAATCTTTAAAAAAAAATTATGAAGAAATAACAGACTCTCGACTTCTTCTCACACAGACTCTCGACTTCCTCTTCTCACATAACACAGACTCGACTTCCTCTTCTCTCACACAGACTCTCGACTTCCTCTTCTCACACACGGACTCTCGACTTCCTCTTCTCACACACGGACTCTCGACTTCCTCTTCTCACAGACTCTCGACCTCCTCTTCTCGTCTCACACAGACTCTCGACTTCCCTCTTCTCACACACGGACTCTCGACTTCCTCTTCTCACACACAGACTCTCGGCTTCCTCTTCTCACACAGACTCTCGACCTCTTCTCACACACGGACTCTCGACTTCCTCTTCTCACAGACTCTCGACCTCCTCTTCTCACACGGACTCTCGACTTCCTCTTCACACACGGACTCTCGACTTCCTCTTCTCACACACGGACTCGGCTTCCTCTTCTCACACGGACTCTCGACCTCCTCTTCTCACACACGGACTCTCGACTTCCTCTTCTCACACAGACTCTCGACTTCTCTTCTCACACACGGACTCTCGACTTCCTCTTCTCACACACGGACTCTCGACTTCCTCTTCTCACACGGACTCTCGACTTCCTCTTCTCACACGGACTCTCGACTCTCGACTTCCTCTTCTCACACACGGACTCTCGACTTCCTCTTCTCACACAGACTCTCGACTTCCTCTTCTCACACAGACTCTCGACTTCCTCTTCTCACACACGGACTCTCGACTTCCTCTTCTCACAAGGCCACAGAATCAAGCATTACACCACCAGGGATGTACACAGTCATTCTACCACTCAACACACCTGACTTATAAATACTATAAGCGGTGTTATTATAGTGTGTGGTGAGATCTTTAGTCTAACCTAACTTGAACGTGACCTAACTTGTACCTAACCTAACTTGGGCCTCACTTAACCTAATTTAATCTAACCTATCACAATCTATCCTATCGTGACCTAAATATCTGGTACCACCCTGTAGGCTATGGTACGAATTCATAGGGTACTGTAGCGTCGAAACTGTACCCGCATTATACCGTGACTACAGGACGTAGATGGCTTCAGCTGTAATTGCCTCGAGAAAAAAGTAACGTGTGTGTGTGTGTGTGTGTGTGTGTGTGTGTGTGTGTGTGTGTGTGTGCAAATTCGAACACAACATTGATATTACATGGTGTTTACAGAGTCCCTTGATGTTTGTGTTTACAGAGTCCCTTGATGTTTGTTTACAATGTTTCCTAACAATTTAATCTAGTAACATTTGCGCCATAGTTTAATTGAGTCAGTAAGATTTGTGTTGAGTCAGTGAATGATGTGTGTGTTGAGTCACCCAGCTAGGACCCCACACCTCCGGCTGGGACCTGATGACTAGAGGCATGAGTCAGTACGGTGGTTGGGGGGGGGGGGGTTCAACGAGGTGACTCATCTGTGTTTGGTTAGCTTTGGTTAGGTTAGGTTAGGTTAGCCTTAAAGTGTTCAATCATATGGTGAAATAAACTGGGGAGCCTAATCTTCACGTGTTCTGTTGAGTCTTATTGGGAAAAAATAAACCATTGTCGTAAACCTTAATTATATACAAAAAAAAATGACCGTGAATTTGGTGATGTAACGACCATAACAGCCAATCAAATTCCACGAGCTGTTATGGTTACTATGGACGCTAATTGTGGGCGTGGCTTAATCGACATGTCAACTGGTAGCATGTATTCGATATGAGAGAAGGATGTATACATGTATTTGAACCTGTAGTGTTGTGTGTACCTGTAGTGTTGTGTGTACCTGTAGTGTTGTGTGTACCTGTAGTGTTGTGTGTACCTGTAATACTGTCACTATACTTATACCCTTGTTTATGTACCTGTATCTCAGGGCGTCTACTGGCCACGCAAAAAAAAAATCCTTGATTTTTCCAGGTCTAAATTTGAAAAATTCCAGGTACATTAATCCGGGATTTATTACGAGAGATTAACCAACTCAGAGGTTTTCAATAATAAGTAAATAATATAAAGATGATTTATTAATAAAGACATTAAAGACCCTTCCCGACCCTAGTGATGAACATCGGCCAAGACCTTGACCACAGTTTGTGTGGTTCCCGCGGGTCGACCTGTTGGTCCTTCCAAACAGCCGGAAATCCGACAAAAACCGACAAATTATTCCTCATCCACCTTTATGACTCATGATTAATATGTGGAATAATCCACTTGAATAAAGTCACTTAATTATAAGAACAATTCACCTCTCTAGTACTGTAGTTATAACGTGTAATATTTGGTTGTTTGATCGTTAACGTGACAGGTACACAAACAATTAGTTACTGGTGTGGAATATTTACTGGAAGTTGTTACTAAAAGTTTAATTATTTACTTATTATATAGAACATCATTAATTTATGGTAACACTACTGTCAAAATAACAATATCTTCAAGTTGAACTGAATTCATAAAATGTCAGGTTTATTTGTATAATTCCCTGAGTTTTCCAGACCAGTATACACCGTGTATATTTGTTTATATACCTATACCTTTGTTTATATACCTATACCTTTGTTTATGTACCCGTATTCCTGTTTATATACCTTAATCGTGTGTATACCTCTACTATTATTTCAACCTCAATATATAAAAATTCCACCTGGGTCTTCCTACAGAGGGGTGGGGGGTCCCGCCTAGTACCCTTGTCAGTAACCGGAGACGTGAATCACATCCCGAATCCGGTGAGACATTTTTTTTCATTTATTTTAAGATGAGGTGTGGCAACATGTATCCTCAGTCACACCTTCTTCCCCTCTCTCTATCTCTCTCTCTCTCTCTAGCACTCCCTCATTTATTCCCAGTACCTCCCTCTCCTCCCGACTAACCAAGGACGAAGGTATCCCCCCTCTCCCTCTCCACCCCTCAGCCTCCCTCTCTACCCCCTTGAAAGATATGACGCAGCAACACACGCACACAGCCTTATAATGAATGTTGAAGCCGCCACACACACACACACTACACCATGCACCATACCACACACACACACTACTGCCATGCACCCCCCACACTACAC